TAATGCATTTCACTGAGGTAAAAACCTGGACATGCCTAGGAGACTAAGAAGTCACTAACTTGAAGTCTTAAGGGGGCTTTAGAAATAATTTGGTCTTAATTTTTATTTGGATAAACTGAGATTAAAAGATGTTGTAGAGGCTCATCTGGGATCACACAGCTGGTAGCTACTCATCTCTAACTAGACCCTTGGTTTCCACAAAGCAAGGTGGATTCACACCCCAGGGCTGCAGAACAGACTTCACCAACGGGGCAACCTCCAGTGTTTTGGTTCCTCTCCATTCAGTGCTTGCAGTAAAAAAGTACTGGAGGCAGCTTTTAACAGACATAGTCCTGATGACATCCTAGGGCTTGAGGGTTTGAAACCTCGGAGAGTTTTTCTAGCTGCTGCGATGCTTGAGGGTGCTATTGCCATGAGTGGCTTGGGCAGAATTCACATTTTTGCAAAAAGAACAACTTCCTTCTACAAATGGCCCTGTCTTCCCATATCCCTAACCAATTCTGAGAACTATTTAGTGCCCCATTCTCAGACCTGGGCTCTTAGCATGGTAACTCATGTCATAACCAGCTCTATCAAGTAGGCTCTGTTTTTAGTTTGTTAAAAGTCATTTTCTGGAATTTCTGTTTTAGCCATCTCTGCATTCTTTGCTAGATCTTTACTTGAATGTTGAATACAAGAAGGTAATAAGACCATATTTACAGTGCCAAAAGACAATTTTTAAAAAATATATAATTCCCAAATGTGAAGTGGCAATTAAAAAAAAACCTCCTTCATTGTATAACATTTTATAGAATGAATTTCTATAATAGTCTGTGACATGGTATATAATTTATCAGCAAAATTTCAAGCTTAAATTCCAAATATTGTGATATCTGGTCATTAAATCTTACTTGTTTCCATGATTTATAAATTAACATCACAAATGCAACAACTAAGCAGAAGGGAAAAAGAAAAACATACCCTCTGAATTAGACCACGAATAAATACTGTATTCCTTTAAACAAATGACTTATAAGAGCTTTATAATCCAAAGCAAGATACACAAGGTGTTTTAAGAAAAGATTGCAATTTTGCAACCGGAAGTCTGGGCAGCTCCTCCAGGCAGAAGCTGTGAAGGAATACCTGTGTCTCAGAAACTTGTTTCCACATGTTCTTGACATTTTTGCATCCAGGCCCCATTATTTACAGAGTTATGCATTTTGCAAGCTCAAAGCACCTTACTCCTCATAATTATGAATGCATGCAATGACATTTCATCCTTTCATGTGCAAATTCTAAAATTCATTATAACATAAACGTTAAAACTTGAAAATCTGCCTACAGTTTGAAATGAAAGGATCAAAAATGTCAGACATTGCAGAGTACTGGTTCCTAATAGAGCTCTCTTTATTTGTTCACTGTTCTTCAGTGGTTTTGTTTGTTTGTTACAAAATGCAGTCTTGACTCTTTATTTAAACAGTACTTAACTGTTCATGCCATGCAAAAATAACATTTTATGCACTTTGTGGGGGAGGGGCTTCCCATATTTTAGTTCACAGGCATTATTAATCGAATTTTTAAGAAACAAGTTTTTTTTTTATTGCTTATATAACTAGTCACATGCTGGTTTCACGTGTGGGACAATAACCTGTGTCTCCTGGGTTGGAATGAATTTCTGGGGCAAACAAGTGGTTCTCCATCTTGTGCCCTTCTTGAGTACTGTCCTTTTTTCCTTCACCCACAGCCTGGTAAATGTCTTGCCTACAGTTGTGGTCTGTGTTCTGAAGGGAGGAGGAGCCCACACAGCCCTCTTCTCTTAAAGGGTCTCTGGCATCGCCAGGCTTATCTGCTGCTAAGCAGTTGGGGCTGGAGTCTGCTTGCTTGTCTGGCCCTGCCCCTTGGAGCTCCAAGAAGTCTTCCTCTTCTCCAGTATCTATTTCTGTGAAGCTCCTCCTTTCTCTGGAAGAGAAAGGAAACAGTTTTTGCTTGGGAAACCGAGGGGATAGCCCTTTGGAAGGTCCTTGACAGTGTGCTGGAACCTCAGCGCCCAGCAAGGGTCTGTCTCCCTGGGGGAGGTCTTCTTCCAGAAGGATGGTACTGATGTGCTGAGGTGTGGTCAGTGGAAAGTCAGCCGTGGTTACTGGCAGTGGCCTGGCTGTGCTGGGTGGGGTCTGCGGCGCACTGCCTCTGTTTTCCTGAAAGTTCACTTTGAGGGATCTGGACTTTAGGGGGTTGCTTCCTTTCAGCGAGCTCTTAGGACTGTCGGTGGCACTTCCAGACTGCAAAGGACCATGGAGCCCACACTGGGAATTCCCAGCATCTAGGTTCACAGTTATATCAATTGGGGCATAGTCCAGTGTGACCTCTCTGGCAGCAGGCCCCTTGTCTCTGCTTAGTGTTAGAAATGGAGGAGCCCTGGCTCTTTGGTGCTCTTCTGTCCCTGGGAGGTCAGTGGGGAACTTCATCTGCAAGTGAGAGGCAGAGGGTGGTGGCAGAGGCGATCTCTCCGTCTCGGTGAAGTCAGTGGCACAGCTGGTGAAGCTGTCGATGCTGGAGGTGCTCTTCATGTCCACGATGACCTCGGTGTGTGCCACGGCCAGCTGCTCCTGTGGGCAGACCACCTCTTCCATTTCGATCTCTTCCTCATATGCAGATGGTCTCTCGGGCTGTTCTTGGCAGTCCGGGTTCTGGTGGGAATGAGGCTGCGTTTTGGTGATTTCATTGTACAGCATTTCCAGTTTCTGGGCACTCAGATGCTGTGGGCTGGAGGAAGAAGTGTTGTTCAGCTGTTCGTGGGAGTCTTTTTGGCTAACCTCCTGGTACTTATTCTCGTAAGATTTGTTGGAGCTTGTTTCCGACAGAGCCTTCCTGGCCCACTTCCACCGGCTTGGAGACAGGTGATTGTCATCTGCGGAGTCCTTGGTATTGGCTGACTCTCCAGCCTTCTCCACAGCCACATCTATCAGTTCCATACTTCGAGCAAAGGCATCTTTTAAGTTCATAGAAACGATGCTTCCATTCCTTTTGGCCCGCTCAAGAGCCTCTCTTCTTTTAATAGCCTTCTCCTGGCGTTTCTGCTCCTTATAAAACTCAGAGAAATTGTTCACAATGATTGGTATAGGAAGGGCAATAACCAGAACCCCGGCAATACAGCAGAGGCCTCCCACAATTTTCCCTAATAGTGTTTTAGGGTAAATGTCACCGTAGCCCACAGTGGTCATGGTGATGGTGGCCCACCAAAATGATGCAGGGATACTGGTGAATTTGGTAGCATCTTCATCTTTCTCAGCAAAAAACACCAAGCTGGAGAATATCATTATCCCCATGGCCAGAAATAATATCAGTAAGCCCAACTCATTGTAACTCCGTCTGAGGGTGAAGCCCAGGGACTGCAGGCCTGTAGAGTGTCTGGCAAGTTTCAAGATCCTGAGGATGCGCATGATTCGGAAGATCTGGACCACACGCCTCACGTTCTGGAACTGCAGCACGCTCTTGTTGGACTCAGTGAGGAAAATGGTGACATAGTATGGTAAGATGGCCAACAGATCAATGACATTAAGCGGGCCTTTAAAGAATTTCCATTTATTTGGTGAGGACAGGAACCGTAAAAGGTACTCCATAGTGAACCAAGCAATGCATACAGCTTCCACATGAGCCAACTGGCGGTTGTCACTGGGTTGCCCAAATTCGTCATTTTCCTGAAGCTCCGGAAGTGTATTGAGAGACAAAGCAATGGTAGAAAGTACGATGAACAGAATAGACACGATGGCCAGGATCTGGAAAAGAGAAGGAGGTCTACGTTAGCAAACCCTCTCTGTTGCTCAGGCAACCACATGTAGATTGGCGATTCCTGACATGAACAGAATGCCCCCAGTTACTCCAGGAAGGTTTTAAGATGGTAATTTTATAACCTAGATGTCTCTAAGGAATACACAGACTTTCATTCTTTGTGAGTTAATTTCACACAACAGCCTCATGCACATTTAGATTCCAAAATACAAGCAATTTAATAAAAACTGAGTCTCCCTCCTTGCCATTGTTCTGAGGCACATTTCTGTGGGTTTTCACTATTTGGATGAAGGTTCCATATGGTTGGTCTACTTTCTTGGGAAATCATCTCTTCTCCCTTAGCGATGTGAAAATTTTCTCTCTTAACTACCCAGTTTGTGCTGGCTTGAGTGAATTATCTTGCATGCCTTATAAGTTTGACAGAATATCTAGACGTTTTATTTTACAGTTAAGCACCAAAGGCAGAACCCGAGTGTGAAGAGCATACCCCATTCAACAGTGCTTCTAATTCCTCATGTGATCAGCATTGACTTGAGAAATACTGACAGTCAGGATAGCCTTTGTCTGAAATGTGCAGACTCTGGCCAGTATCACATGGGGGAGGGAGATCAGGAGCTAACTTTATTCAGGCAGGAGCTAACTTTATTCAGGCAGTGCAGTTTTCATGAAGAGCTTGAAGAATGGACATGGGAATCTCAGTTCAGGACAGAAGTACAGAGCAACATGACGAAGGAAAGAGGACGATGGCAGAAAGAAGTAAGAAAGGGGATCGAATGATTGGGTTTTAGAATCAGCCATCCAGACTCTGACCTTGGCTGTTCCACTTACTTTGTGACCTGGCAAAATATCTACTCTGTCTGGGTCTCAATTTAAAAATCTGTTGAATATGTGCAATAGACATAGACACTTCATGGTTTCTATAAAAGTTGCATAGTATGCAGACATTGCCAAATAAACGAAAGGTACTTATATTGTTGAGGCTGAAATGGCCCGGGACTTCAGTCTAGGGAGACAAAGGCCAAGAAAGGTTATATATACATATTTCCATCTGTAAAACCACACAGATTACAGACTAACCTTATTTTAATCCAGTGTTTGAGATTTATGGAACAAAGCAGGAACATTAACATCTGAGGGCAATGCAGGGATGCACTTCTTTGGTTAGCAAAGTTTGCACATTTCATGCACTGTTTTTGGTGGAGTAGGAAACATTCCTTACCTAGTTTGGATCTGGCTTGGTTTTATCTGACCTTTACCCACAGATTTGTATGAATAAGAGTCCAACACTAAGTAACACCATGAGGTAAAGCCCACTCAATGCCCATAACCTTTACAGGTATTATTAGTCTCTGGTATTATACCTAGCTCTGAGAAAAATAGCCCGACAGTGACCATTTTACATAAAGACTCAGCATCTAGTTAAGTTTCAAAGCATAGTGATTAAGGCCTTGAGGTTGCAGCTCAGCACATATTAGACTGTGAAAAAATTAGTGACAGGACTTCAGAGTTCTCTCTCCTATTCTCTGTCTCTCTTTTGTACATGATGTCTCTCTTTGTGTACATGCATAGCACACATCTGTGTATGTATATGTGTGAATGTGAATACATGGTGCAGGTCTGGAGGTCAGAAGTCAACTTTGAGTGTCCTTTCTCATCTTCCACTTTGAGGTAGGGTCTCTTTTGTTTTTCTGCTGTGTATGCCAGGCTATCTGGCCTTTGAGATTCTGACATTCTGTCTCTGCTTCCCATCTCCCTGTAGGAGTGCTGTGTTATGCACATAGCTATTACGTAGGTTCTGGGGATTTGAACTCAGGCCCTTTTGCTTGCATGGCAAGTGCTTTTCCCCACTGAGCCATCTCCTCAGCCTGTATTTTCTCATTTCTATCTCTGTAAGTTTCTCTACTTCTGGGGATTCTCCTTTCACTTCCTTCTTTTTATGCTTCCTTTATATTCACTGTTTTTCTTCTCGTTATTCCAGCTCCTGCCTTCCCTCTTCACTTGCTGTAAAGGAAACCATAATAAGCATGAGGCATTTCAGAATGTGTTACAGATATTAAAGGAGGATGTATGGCTCTTTAACCCAAGGATCAGTGCTTTATTTGTAGGGTTTTGTGTTTTTTTTTTCCTTAGAACTAGGTTAAGTATTTTTCTTGAGTGTATTTCAGAATTACTTTAAAAAAAGATGTGCCAGTCAGGCTGAAGAAATGGCTCAGTAGTTAAGAACATTTGCTGCTTTTGTAGAGGACTGGAGTTTGGTTCCAAGCACCCATATCACATGGCTCACAGCCACCTATAAGTCCAGCTCCAGGGGATCTGACATCTTCCTCTGGCTTCTGTGTGCACACACACACACACGCACACAGGCATGCACACACATAAGAAATAACCTTAAAAAAAGGCAGGGCAGTGAATAATCACAGTAGGAAGCACTGACTTCATCTACTCTAAGAGACTGTGGAGGCTAAAGGTAGAAACTCCCTGTGAATAGCAGACTGTTTATTTGAGGTGTTAGGAATGTTCACCTGGAAGCTCTTCCTTTAGAGACCAATGACAGGACAATACCACTATTCTGATTCTGAAGCCTCTTGTTAGATCACACTTCTTCTCACATTCACACGTAAGAAACCAGGCATGCCTGTGTAGTTCCCAGAAGGTCACACTCTTATTGATAGGTCTTTGAGTATTTTTTTTTTTTTTGAGACAGGTTCCAATATGTAGCAGAAGCTGGCCACCAAACCCAGCTCTGGACATTGTAATATTGGGATTTCTTCCATCATTCTTATACCAATCACCCATATTCTAAATTTTCCACGTGTAACTCCTTGAACATTTTTTATTCATTTTACAATGTTTATTGCTTCAAAGAGAAGAAGAAAAGCAGGAATGCAAATGAATCCATCATACTATTTTCCAACCCTTTTAAAAGTCTGGTGCCAGGAATCGAACCCAGCATCTCACCCATGGTAGGCATGTGCTCTACCACTAAATCACACCCAACCCCCAATCTCCCAACCTTTGGACAAAGAATAGTAGGCCTTCAGTTTTCCTTGACTTCATAGACAGAATTAGATTTATAGACTATTTTATTTCTTTTGCTATTTTTTTTTTGAAAACCCCAGAAACACTGTATAATACTAATGCAGTCCATAGTCTAGTTACAACTTGATAAATATGGCTCCACTTGATACTTGAAAAGTTAATGCAGCCACAAAATGACCAAGTGTATATTCTTGAAGAAAAGGAATTATTGAAGGAAAACCAAACATTCGAGCTCTTAACAACCCCACATGCACATTAAAGGAACCAGAAGGTATTACAGTGCATTACTTTCTGTCTCATGTTGAAATTCAATCTGTCAGAACCCATTTGCTCTCAGTTTGGAGGAATGGCTTATTTTAAATGTCTTGTGAAGCTTAGAGCTCTCTCAGGAAGACAGTACTTTAGACAGTTATTCACTATATACCACAGATGATGATTGGAGCATGAAGCCAAATGCATGTTTTTTTATTGGAAAGATTTTAAATACAAGTATGAAATTTTGCTCTGAGCTATAGAATAAGCTTCTAAACATGGATGTTTACAATACTGCAGTGAACCTTGATAACATTTAAGTGTTGCTTTACTTACTACAGCTGTGTGTAAATTAGGATATGACTGACTCAGATTTTTTAATCTCTGTCACCTCCAATTGGCATCCAGAGCTGGCAGGAGCCAAATTATTTCCCTCGGCTTTAGCAAGTAGATTTATGTTTGTACATGACAAAGGAAGAGGAGAGTCCAAGCAATTGTGTGATGTTGATCCAGCCTCCTGGGAGATTTGAATTAGGTCACTGCCAAGGCTAACATTTAGTTGTTCTGTGTTTGACAGTCTGCTAATTCCAGTCTTGACTGTAAACTAAACTAAAGACAAGTCACAAATAACCCTGACATTTTGGTTGAATGGACATAATTAAATTTTGCTGCTTAAGAAATAAAAAGAAATTTAAAGGAGAAAGCTTTGAAAATCATCGCACTGTGTATATTCCAAGCATTTAGTTATTGGGAACAGACATTCTATCTGGGTGAAACTTTCCTTCTTGAATCACTTCAGTTCTTCACTTAGACATAGGCATTCACAGAATGATGTGGAGTTAAAGACAGGGCTCCACATATCTTTTTGTAGGCACCCAAAGTTGGCTGCATGGCTTTCTGTTTAGAGGATATAAGGTAGCCCAAGACTTGCTGCTGTTGTACCAACTTGGTGATCTTATTGTTTATAGATAATGAATGCGTTGTGGTGGAAAGAGACACAGGGCAAGGATTTAAAACACATAGCTCTGTTGAACATGAAGATGAAAACAATGCTCCCCTAGTTTCCTTATTTCAAAGTGTGGTGTCCCCCAGAGCCAGGTAAAAGCAAAGGATAAATGGACGTAAAGGACAAGAAACAACCTGAAAGGGGGATAGCAGGGGCAGATGGTACCTGAGAGAGGTGGAAAAGGTGGGTAATCAGCAGGGAGGAGAGAAGGGAGGGACGTGCAAGGGACCATAGTGTGGGGAGGGAGGGAAGTCAGGAAAGGAAAGATGGTGGGAGTCAGGAGGTATTGAGGGGAGGGTGGGGATAATGGGTGTGCTGTGACTAGGAAGGGAAGGAGGAGGGAAATTGGATGGGAGAAAAAAGAGTGAGATGGTGAATCTCGGGGGCCAGGAAACCTAGAGGGAAAGTGATGCCCTAGAAACCCAATGAAAATTGTACGTTGAGTGTCTGAACATTAATGCATATGTATACCTAGGAGCTGCTTGGTAGGGAACAAATGCCAGATAGAAGAGACCTCCCTTAAAGTGACAAACATGCCTTAGAGCACTCATCAAAGAAGAATCTTTTTGAAACAGATGGAGGGTATTGCAGAGTTGTACATCTGGTCAGGCACAGTGAACATACACCTGGGAGATGCCTAGTACTAGGTGACACATCTGCAGTTGAATCTCTACAACCAGAAGGCCACAA